ATGAGAGGAGCGAGGCAATCTACTACAGTTACGAGAGGAGCGAGGCAATCTACTATAGGTATGAGAGGAGCGAGGAAACCTACTCTAGTTATGAGAGAAGCGAAGCAATCTACTATAGTTATGAGAGAAGCGAGGCAATCTACTATAGTTACGAGAGGAGCGAGGCAATCTACTATAGTTACGAGAGGAGCGAGGCAATCTACTATAGTTATAAGAGGAGCGAGGAATGCTACTCTAGTTATGAGAGGAGCGAGGCAACCTACTATAGTTATGAGAGGAGCGGGGAACCCTTCTGTAGTTATGAGAGGAGCGAGGAATTCTTCTGTAGTTATGAGAGGAGCGAGGAATCCTACTATAGCTATGAAAGGAGCGAGGAAACCTTCTATAGGTATGAGAGGAGCGAGGAAACCTATCATAGTTATGAGAGGAGCGAGGCAACCTACTATAGTTATGAGAGGAGAGAGGAAAGCTACTCTTGTTATGAGAGGAACGAGGAAATCTACTATAGTTATGAAAGGAGAGAGGAAATCTACTATAGTTTTGAGAGGAGCGAGGAAATCTACTATAGCTATGAGAGGAGCGAGGACTATAGCTATGAAAGGAGCGAGGAAATCTACTATAGCTATGAGAGGAGCGAGGCAATCTACTACAGTTACGAGAGGAGCGAGGCAATCTACTACAGTTACGAGAGGAGCGAGGCAATCTACTACAGTTACGAGAGGAGCGAGGCAATCTACTACAGTTACGAGAGGAGCGAGGCAATCTACTACAGTTACGAGAGGAGCGAGGCAATCTACTACAGTTACGAGAGGAGCGAGGCAATCTACTATAGGTATGAGAGGAGCGAGGAAACCTTCTGTAGTTATGAGAGGAGCGAGGAATTCTTCTGTAGTTATGAGAGGAGCGAGGAAACCTACTATAGTTATGAGAGGAGCGAGGAAACCTTATATAGGTATGAGAGGAGCGAGGAAACCTACTATAGTTATGAGAGGAGCGGGGAAACCTTCTGTAGTTATGAGAGGAGCGAGGAAACTTACTATAGCTATGAGAGGAGCGAGGAAACCTTCTATAGTTATGAGAGGAGCGAGGAAACCTTCTATAGTTATGAGAGGAGCGAGGAAACCTACTATAGCTATGAGAGGAGCGAGGAAACCTACTACAGTTATCAGAGGAGCGAGAAAACCTACTATAGTTATGATAGGAGCAAGGAAACCTACTATAGTTATGAGAGGAGCGAGGAAACCTTCTATAATTATGAGAGGAGCGAGGAAACCTACTATAGTTATGAGAGGAGCGAGGAAACCTACTATAGTTATAAAAGGAGCGAGGAAACTTACTATAGCTATGAGAGGAGCGAGGAAACCTACTATAGTTATGAGAGGAGCGAGGAAACCTACTATAGTTATTAGAGGAGCGATGACACATATTGTAGAAATTAGAGGAGCGAGGAAACCTTCAGTTGTTTGTACCGTTTGTAAACCTACTATAGTTTGTACCATTTGTAAACCTACTTTGTGTTTACAAATGAGGAATTGTTTATTCTAACCATTTTAACAAATGTTGACTTGTGCTTTACAACTAATTTGATAAACGAAAAGCTAAGTATTCCTTTTTAATAATAGGTTTGCTAGTTATGAAATGTGAATGGTATTTTAGTTTTTTGCTGTGAATAATACCATACATATATGATTGATATATGATTAACATCAAATGTTATAAAAAAACATATTGTTCATATATTTGAGTTATCTGCCCTTGGGACATATGCCAGCCTGCACGCGTTAACGTTTGTTTATTAGAACGTTATGGAGAGTCGTTGATACGGGACGTCATATATCTTGTTTGTCGTTTTGACGGCGAGCATTGCGTGCCGGTGTTCATTTCCGTGGGGAATAATGACCGAGCAAAGTGAAAACGTCAAGCCTACGACAACATAAATCAGGGTTACTTTTTAAACATTAAAAGACAACTTCCTCTTTTTTATAACAGTAAAATAACACAGATTGATTTTAATCTATCGTGCTCGCAAATTCTGAGTCGTCATTTGTATCAGTTTCAGTTGTACGCGATAAACCTGTCTTTGCCAATTACATCATTAGGATAAACTGCCATTACACATGCCATAGCGGGGCCATGTTGTTCCACTCGGAGGGGGACCAGTGAGTTAGTACTAATTTACTGACGGGCTGTATCAGTCAACAAACAGATTAAAAAATCAATCTTTCAATTATTCAATAATGTTCAAAATGTTGAAAAATACGTTATGCTGTTCTATTTAGAGAGCCCTACAGAATCACTCGAATCTCTAAATCAATCAACTGTTTTTTTTATTCCGAAGGTTAAATTGAATTGTCATATAGGGACTATAATGGTATAGATCACTCTTTAAAATACCATTTGTATATTTTTTAATATGCCACAAAAATAGCCAAATCAATAACGCCTCCGTTAAAGACTTATTCCGATAAGAAAGATAAATAATTGAATAAATATCACCAATAAGTGTTAGTTGTTACAACTCTGCCCGATTGTCATAAATAAATCTTACATATTGTCCAACTTTGAGATTTTCATTAAAGCCATTACATGCTTTTCCTTACTTGAACATTGATGTTGTCACATAACGCGGTCAAACATTTCAACACCTTCACAATACATCCACTGCATGTATCGTAAGAGGCGACTGATGCGTGAACCCCCTGCAACTTTGGGACACAAAAGCGATCAAAATAAATCTGCTGTGCCATTGCCACATTTGGGATCTTTATATTTCTCTCTACTACTAACTACCCATAATTTACATTTCTCTGTGCTACTAACTACCTATAATTTCCTAGCGCCTTGCTTGGCAATACTTTATTTTAGGCTTTAAAGTTGAGCGTTCGTCAAAATTGGGTAGGCAATGGATTCTGTCCCCAGGCCGGGACATACCAAAGTCTTTGAAATTGGTAGCTGTTATTCCCTGCTTAACGTTCAGCATTATGGGTAATTGCATCAAGTGAAAGGGTGGAATGTTGTGCTGGGTGATTTCGGCATAATATTTCAGTGAGATAATACTATAAAGTCGGCATCAGATCCGCGCTACCACAAGGAGGCAATTACGCCAACATACCCTGCCTCCATCACACATGCACATATGCACGCATACACAACACACATGCAGGCATGTCCTTACATGACATTAGTATTTCGTTTGCAACGAGATTTGGCATTTCCATTACGATTTTCACATGCATCGGCACACAATGATGCGTCCATCGTACTTATATTTCCCAGGACAATACTGCATGGGTTCCTATCATTGTTCAACTATTATTGATTGATTTTGTCACATTTCACCACAACGTTGACATTTTTAAATAATACCGTTGTTCTGTTGCATTAAATGTTCTCATTGACAAATATGTTTTCAATATACCAAGTCGGTGGTTTAATTGTTTTTATTATCAACGTTATTCCTTTGTGTCTTTAATGTAATTTCTTTATAAATCATCCCCATTCTTATGGATCCTTCGCAACAAAACTTTGAAAAATGGCTCAACTAGTAAAACATTACCATCATTACATAGTATTTCCTCAAAATGTTGCATTACATTTTGCTGGGTTCGCGGACAAGTGGGAGTGTCAGACAATGAAAAGGCAGATCGCACCACTAAAGCGGCTCATTACTACCAGATGTGATTTTTGCTTTTACATTTTTCGTTCGTTTGATATATTTTTCTTTAACATATTTTCCTATCAATTACTGGCCCTAATGACATCTTCTGTGTCAATGGGTCGTAAAGAAAATAACAGATGTTAGTAATAATCTTATGGAGCCAATTGATTTATGTTTCATGAACTATTTACTTTTTTTGATTTTCAAAAGCCATTGATTTATGAAGTAAACTAGAATAGAACATACTAAGGGACCGTGTTTAAATATTGCCATTGAGCGTCTAACATGTATTTGTTCTTTAAGTTTTTGTATTGACATTTTTCAAAATACATAATAACTTAACGATTTGACTTTTATTTTCTCGTCGTGTTTCTAATATAACTTTCAACTCTACCTTCAGACCGTTAGTTCAATATGGTGTTCATTGAGGGTATTACTGTCTTTGTAGTATCACTGAAGCTCTACAATATGTACTATATTACACCAGGCATGCACAGTTTTAAACACAATAATCAGTACCACCACACATGCAACTCTATAATTTGTACAACATAAAACACAGTACTAAGTACCACTTTAAATGTAGATTTATAATTTGTACAACGTTAAACACAACAATTAGTACCACTGTATTTTACATTTACACTACTATTTGTACGACACGCATTAAGACTGTAATGCTACAATTTGTACAACATTTAACGCAACAATCAGTACCCATACATCATATGATATGTACTTTAACTTTACAATATGTACAATATAAAGCACTACACACAGTACTATTATAACCCAACAATACGTTAAATATGACAAAACTACACAACCCTATTTAATTAACATACACGGATAAAACTACACAACCCTATTTAATTAACATACACGTATAAAACTAAATAATTGTTGTAAAAGTTGAGATTGTTAATTTGTTTACCCGTAATAAACATTTTTTTTGGAAACCTTCACCTTTAACGAAGAATGTGCAATTCAACTAAGGTGAAAAATCTGGTGCTTTTTTATTTTATTTAATTCACAATTATCCAAAAGGATTTTTCAGAAAAGGATCAGATACCAAGTTAATTTTGAGGACTTTTAAATTCAATATTGGGTCAATACAGAAGTGTCTATTAGGCAAGCTTTCTATTTGTGTCATATTGCATAATCCGACAGGCTTAAATAGCTTCAAAACACTGGGGGAATGTTCAGGACAACTAGATGAACTAGAGAACGATTTTCCCGGAAATACTTTACACGCTAGAAAGCATAGGTTGCAAAATCAACATACAAAACAAATACTACAATTCATCAAAGCCAAAAAAAAGAGAAAAGAAAACTAACTTACCACAGAACATGTTGTGACCACGAGAGAGGTCAAGGTTATCACAAATGTACCAAACCACATATTGCGGACATCTCACATCCGGTGGCTTCTGTTTGGCACTTCCGGTGCGTACTAGTTGAAGCGTATAATTCTCAGAACGACGTCAGGAGTCAGCCTGGTGTATGAGTGGCAATCTGTGCGGCGTCCCTGAGATCAGGGTGTCGAGAAAGTGAGGGCAAGCCCGGAGATTCGTCCTACGGTCACAGACGATGTAATTCGGAGAAAAATCCAGCACAAACTAAAACACATTATATTGATTTCTGATTTTCAATCAATTGCGCGAAAACAGCAAATGCGTATGAAGCCTAAATGAGTCATTAGATATATTTATAATTCCTTCCTCTCGGTAAATGGTTGGAACGGTATTAAATTTTCAATTTGCGTCTACAGACGATAGAGGCTTTCCGCGCCCGAACTGATTGACAAACCAATATTGTCAAATTGAATATCAAAAGCAGTGCGGCGCAAAAACAATTAGGAAAGCTTTTAGCCGCCGGCTGATGGTGAACGATGGCCAGGAAAGAGTTGGTATTAGCAAGAGTGTCCGTCTTTACACGGCGGTACAGTGGTCAGATGAGCAGTAATGGACCGCCACACACTGGACAAGTGGTCGGCAGAGGCACAGCAGAACAAAGTCATTATAGGAATCGTCCCGGATATCACGAATCGGTCCCATACGTTTCTCACGTGGGACACATTTATGACACCCTGCACTTACAGGCACTGATGAATTCCTGTGTAGACTGAGTCGGAAGGTACTGTCACTCTGGATACCTCTGTGACACAAGTGACAAGCCAACACGCCTCAACTCTGCCACCGAACTGAGCTAATGTAAAAGTCGATTTGGATACCATGGGATATCAGGCACTTATAAACACTCCTGTATCTTTGTGAACTTGGCACCAAATGTGACGGGGCCAGATTTAATATATGGCTAACGTTGATTGGGATGTACACGCACAGACACACTAGCCGCTCACTGCACGGCCAGATTTAAGATCCACACTTCCGTCCTATATGGACGTATCTACTGAAACCACGGTATCGAGCTTACAATGCAGCAGATACTGAGAGATTGATGAAGCAATTTCAGCATCCTGTAGATAAAACGATGCTTCCTCTGACAGATTTTAAAACATTACATGTGGATTCAATAAAGTCAGCAAACTTCTCCGTCAAAATCACCATCATTCTCCTACCGATTACATTGAATTATCGCTTAGAACTCCAACCATTTATCGACAATATATATGTACTGTACATCAAGATTACGGCTACGCTTTTCCCCCGACATAAACATGACTGTTGGATTTACGGACATTTCATCAGTTCCTCCGCTTCCTACATCATGATTTGTCTCGCCACGTCAATTTTGAAGCTGCTCTCTGCATTACTGGTGTAGCACACGAGAATCGTGAATAGAATTTTACCTTGATATATTGCAACGATGAGATTACGACATACCAATAAATAATCTATAATAAAGTATCTACTCAACGAACAACATCTATTTAACGTTTCGTATAAACTTGTAACTGATTAAATGTGAAGTCAAAATCATGTCAATACCCTTCTGATGTCTATTGTGTTTTACAATCTGTTAAAATTTTATCTTCGACGACTGAAAGTGTCGTGCCTTTGACTAATGGTGTACAATAGACAAACTAGCGTAACTAGTAGTTGCTCGGTCAATAAATAAAGAGCAAAATGCTTTCTTTTAAGAAAAGTTTTAGTAAAGAAATCTTGCAATATTTCAGCATGAAATTGTAACGGATTCACATTTATTTTATGTTGAGTACGCAGAAAAAACGATTTACTGTGTTCGAACAGAATTTATTTTAGTACTAAATACTATACTTTCCAAATGACCCCTAGTATGAATCTGAGTAATAGTGGGATGATGACGCACACACATCACCATGGAGCTAACTATATCAAGAAATCCTACTAGTTCTCAGCATCCCAAATCCGCAGATTCAATCCCATGACAGATTCCTAAATCATGGTTCTATATACAAGAGAAACGGAGGTAAATGCTTAACAACATCGATCGGAAGTGCAAAGATATAGATCTAGAGACACAATAAAAATACGAAGATAACGAATGTACGCTATGTACCTGCAGGCTAACCAATATATAATGTTCCCAAATACAAACGAACACATGAACGGTTCAGCAGTCTAACGCCGGAATCTCGTGTATCAACAGTCATCGAGTGTAGTTCAGTTACAAAACAGCCATTTCTGTATGTATTTATGCTTCCTACGTATTTAATCTGTCGACCAAATTGAGGATAGGTCGATATGTTATATCAGTTCAGATATCTCCTTCGGTACGTGTAGCATGTTGGTAAGTTAGAACAATTGACATGAGTAAAGATAGTGGGGCGACGCTGAACGTGTTGTAAATTAAAATGTTAAAATTTCTTGTTTGTTGACTCGTTAAGCATAACGTTATGTATCAAGTTATATGTTCCGGTTTAATTGGACAAATTAAAACAAATGAATTAGGTATATGATAGCCAAAGAAAAAGAAAAAAGAATATGAAGCATTCTCTTAAATAATAATTGTCAGAAATTCAGAAATTATTAATGCGTGTCGGTGTCGGGATTAATATTCAAGTTATTAAGTCAAGGTTGAGTGAATATCTCTATTTGAATAATAATTCGTTGTTGATTGAATATTGTTATTCATCTTGCAATACTTTTATGCGTGTGGCGTATATAACCACCCTAGAACTTGAAGTTTAATTCACAAACGGTCTTGACAAAGGATTACAAAAACATCACCATACAATGCTTGGTAAATATAATAAATGTATAAATAAGATTCTCATTCGAATGTCATGTTTGATAACAAGGATAGACAACTTACTAACCCACCGCTTGTCAACGTTTACATTAACACGTCCTGTTGCAGTTCGCAATCATTCTATAATTGAACGGGGTCGTTGTTTATATATTCTTAACTTATTCAGGAACCTGTCATTTCAACAACTATAACAAAGAAATCAAAAGTTTATCGTAAATGATGATGATCTAAAACAATGAACGTTAAGAATTCAATTATAAATACCAGGACAACAATGACAACAAGACGTTGTAATGCATCGCCTCCTTGACGCAGTGACTTAAGATCCCAGACGTATAACATTAAAGCGAAATGCTATATATTTGGCATTTCCTTCTGTAGTACGTCTCAGTAAACAGATATGAATTGCTGATGGAGCAAGGCCTGCCTTTTTATTAATTAAGAACATGAAGACAGACACTCCAGTGGTTAAGTTAAAGACATTTCTATATCTTGTTTGAGGGCTTACTCCTCTAGAACAACCAGTGATGTTGAAGCTGGTACGCATTAAGACCGACTAACCGTGTTTCGTCTAAGGCTGACTTTCTAAGTGCCTAAGTAAACTTTAAAACATATTCCTAGCGTGTGTTTATTTCCATATTAAGAGGGGTTCCCGGGCAGTAATCTCCGGTGCGCAGGGGAGTACCTGACATTACAGACACGACAGGTGATTCTGGGTATAATTAAACTGATAAATAACAGCCTGTACCAAACCAAGAGTGTCGACTTTACTCCATGTTACTTAACGTCTAATGAATGCTCTAAAAGGGAATTAAAACCGACTGATGCATGCTTTCTATTCAGCGTTCAATTTCAAAAATTTAATCAACAAGATTGGCAAAACAGTCGGCCGAAAAGCCATCGTAACAAAGACTTAGCGACAACCTGTGTTTTATTGACGCTATAAAGGCAAGTGATGCGAGATTGTTAAATTCGTTAAATTCAATATAATTACCCGCCTTAGATAGGCTTATGAAGACCCGATATAGATTAAGAGACTTCTGAGATAATATGACAGGAGTGAAAGGCTTACCAAGCGATGTGCAATACAACCCTGATGTCTTTTTCAGGAAATTGTTTTTCGTTTTCAGTAAGAACTCAATTGCTTTAAAAATGTATCGAGATTAATTATTTAAAAAAAACAAAGACTCATGCTGCACGCAAATAATTACAAATTTCGTGATTAAACTCAACTTTTGTTTTCGTTCAGTTTTCCATCTTGATGTTTTTCAAGTCTTTTGAGAAACAGTACAATGTATAGTTGTTTGGAACAGACACCCTCTTTGCTGACTAAGACTCTCATCGATAATGTGTGCGATTCATTTTACTCCTGATTTCTCTTTCCCGTTTCGAGCAGGCTTCAACCGGCAAAGACTTCTGTTTAATCCAGTATGTTGTGCGAGCTTTTGGGAAGGCTGGTCACCTTTACAAGAGAAAAAGTAACGTTCTTTTATCTTTGAATAACATTTTTAAAAAAGAATATCAATTAATATTCCATTTTTGTTAATATAAAAGCTAATGAATGAAGTTGTCTTGCATTTAGTCCAAATATGTACTTTTGACATTTCTTCACGAAGAATAAGACAATATTTAATTTACATGTGTTAAGTTGACAACACGACGACCTCTAGGGCCTTGATACCGTTAATTATATCATTGATCTGCGAAACTGCGTAACCAACTAGCAATGAAAACCAACGTAGAACATTGCTATCAGTGAAAACCTGAACGGTACAGTGCTGGGGAAAGTTATAAACGTGAAAGGTACAGTTATGGGTGCAGTTTAAAAGGTGTGTCTGAGGAGCTTTTAGCTTGAATGTTTTTTCGCTATTTTAGTAAGACAAAATGTACGACGAAATAGATCGCAAGGGGACTTCTATCTCCTACACAGCAGGGATTCTCGAGCATTTTTGGTTCTTTCTTGCCGTTGACAGCCCTAGTTAGGCTCCAGATTTAACTTTGATAGGACATTCTATTGTCCCCAATAGACATTCTATTGTCCCCAATAGACATTCTATTGACCCCAATAGAATGATCATTAACTTGATACTGGTCGATGCCTAGAACATTTAGTATTTACAACAAAGTACATTTAGTATACAATCAGAAGAGTACAAATAGTATGCATTCAACAAAGTACGTTAATAATGTATACAACAAAGTACGTTTATAATGTGTACAACAAAGTTATTTTATAATGTTTACAACAAAGTACGTGTATAATGTATACAACAAAGTACGATTATAATGTAAACAACAAAGTTATTTTATAATGTGTACAACAAAGTTGTTTTATAATGTATACAACAAAGTACGTTTATAATGTATACAACAAAGTTATTTTATAATGTACATTTGTATACAACAAAGTTTTTTTTATAATGTATACAACCAAGTACGTTTATAATGTTTAAAATAAAGTTATTTTATAAAGTGTACAACAAATTATTTTATAATGTATACAACAAAGTACGTTTATAATGTATACAACAAATTTCGTTTATAATGTATACAACAACTTACGTTTATAATGTATACAACAAGGTACGTTTATAATGTGTACAACAAAGTTATTTTATAATGTATACAACAAAGTACGTGTGTAATGTGTACAACAAAGTATGTTTATAATGTATACAACAAAGTACGTT